CTCTATGAGATGGATTGATTCGGTGACTGGGGTAATCGGGATGGGTGTGTCGGAGGCGGTGCGGTTGGTGCAGGATAGGGCAGGGTTTAGAGCTGTTGTGCATAGGGTCGCTATGAGTCGGAAACGACTAGATGGCACATAACAACAACAACTATATATATATGACAAAAATAGATGTCAAAAGAGACTCAGAGAGTTTCAGTAAACTGTAGAAAAGCTACAGTAAAAGGAAGAAATTATGGAATAAAGAGGACTGAGCAGAATATTTCAAAAGGCAACTCAAGAAGACAAAGCAAAGTATTGTAATGAGATGTCCAGAATCCTGCACTTAGAACCCCCAAAAAGATGAAAAAGTTCAGAGTTTCTCAAGTGAAAGACTCAAGCTTTCATTTTCACCACTGGAGACTCTATAGGTTAAATACTTAATGTCACAGAAAACATTAAAAAATGGGAGGAATACACACAAACACTATAACAAGCAAGACTTGATACTGACTATTTTAAGAAGTAGCATATGATCAAGAATGGTACTGAAGGAAGATATCCAAGCTACACTGAAGACACTGGCAAAAACCAGGATTCTGGGAATTGACAGTGTTAACTGAAATATTTCAACAGATGTCATGATGGAAGTCTGCACTTTTCTAAGCCAAAAAGCTTGGAAGACAATCACTGGCAAACTGATCAGAAGAGATCCATGTTTATATTCATTTTTTTAAAAGAGGTGATCCAATTGAGGGTGGAAGTTATCTTCTTTTTTATCATTCTATCACACACAGTATAGAAATTATCAAACAGTATCACTGATATCACACACATGCAAAGTTCTGCTGAAGATATCCCAAAAATGACTCAAACAGTACATTGACAGAGAACTACCAGAAATACACGCAGGGTTTAGGAGAAGTCATGACACCACGGACATTATCACCAATTTCAGTTGGATCTTGGCAGAAAGCAAAGAGTACCAGAGGAATATATATCTGTGTTTCATTGACTATGCAAAGGCATTAGACTGTGTGGATTGCAACAAATTGTGGCTAACCTTGAGAAGAATGGAAATCCCAGAACACTTGATTGTGTTTATGCAAAACTTAGACAAGGAAGCAGTCCTCAGAACAGAGCAGGGAAACACTGCATGGTTCAAAATCAGAAAGAGTATGTCAGGGATGCACCTGTCTCCATATCTTTTCAATATATATGCAGAACAGATCATTAAGGAGACTAGACTTTATGAGTAGGAATATAGTATCAGGATTGAAGGAACACTCAATAACTTGAGTTATGCATATAACACAACCTTGCCCAACAAAACTGAAGAGGACTTGAAGGTTTGCTGCAGAAAGTCAAATACTGAAGTCTTCAATATGGATTGAAGGTCAATATCAAGAAAACAAAGATTCTCCCCACTGGGCAATTGGCAGCACCATGATAGATGAAGAAGAGATTGAGGTATTCAACAATTTCAGCTTGCTCAGTTCCGTAATCAATGCTCTTGGCACCAGCAGTCAAAAGATTAATTGCCTTGGGAAAATCTGCTGTCAGGGACCTCTCCAGAGAGTTAAAGAACAAGGACATCAGTCTAGAGACTAAGGTGCTCCTGATCCAAGACATGACCTTTACAATTACTTGTCATGCATCAGATAGCTGGATAATGACTAGAGATTATAGAAGAATCACCGATGCCTTTGAGTTGTGGTGCTAGAGAAGATTATTAAATGTACCATAGATTGCCAAGAGAACAAACAGATCTGCCCTGGAGAGGTGAAACTCAGTTGCTCCTTCGAGACAAGGATTTTGATGCCTCATCTCACTTACTTTGGACATAAGGCCAGGAGGGATCAGTCCTTGGAGAAAGGGATCATGCTTCGAAGGGTAGCAGGACAGTGTAAAAGAGGAAGAGCCTGGATGAGATGGATTGACACAGTGACTAGCGCAATGAAAGCAGGTGTGTCATAGACAGTGGGATTGATCAAGATAGGGCAAGGTTCAGAGCTAATGTGCATAGAGTTGCTATGAGTTGAAGTTGACTCGGCGGCACATAAAAACAACAAGAACAAATAAATCTGTCTTGGAGGACGTACAGCTAAGAATGCTCCCCAGAAGGAAGGATTGTGAGACTATCTTATTGGTCATGGTATCAGGAGGAAAAGAATACTATACTTGGTAAAGTAAAATGTAAAACTCAGATTCAGTGCTACTGCTTGATGACGCTTCATCAGGTTTCTGAGGCTGTAAATCATAATGATTTTCTCCTGAGGAGGTGCTGATAGATTTGGACTACCAGAAAAGTATGGATTTTGAGTTAGCAGTGCAATCCACTATTAACTCCATCAGAGCTCCTTAACATAAAGGGTCAGGTGGAAAAAAAGAAAATCTTCAAGGCATGGATTGGCACTGTGGTTGCAATAATGGGCTCCAACATGGTGAGAATTGTGAGGATGGTGCAGGATTGGGCAGTGTTTCATTCTGTTGTCTGGAGGCTTGCTGTGAGGCAGAACCAACCACAGAAGTGGTACCTAACAGCAATAGCAGCAGATGCGACATTATTGTTGTTGTCTGCAGCTGAGTTAGCTTCTGACTTATTTCAACAGGAACAATGAAATAGAATTATGATCCACAGGGTTCTTGTTGGAGGATTTAAAAAGTAGATCACTAGGTCTTTCTTCCCATTGTCAATCTGAAAATTCCACTGACACATGCTCAGAAGTTTTCATAAAATGTAGGAAACAGTCAAAGGAATGTTTTTCTCAACCTTTCATTTAACAAATACTTATTCATTAAGTATTGTGTGACAGATCTGAGGCCGAGCATTCTCCCTTTATGAATTGTTTGCTTTATTGGTCTTACCAGTTTTGTCTGCATCGTGCTTCTTAAATTCACTCAGAAGATCTGAAGAATGAGCAAATAACTTTTCTCGAAGAGCTCTCAGAGCTGATTTTTCTACTCTGCTAATCCTAGGATGGAATAAGGGGAACATTTATAACAGTGAGGTCTGTAAGGGTCAAGGAAGCTTTAAAAAAAAAACACAACAAATTATCCTCTTTCTTAAAATCTTAAGAACTTGGTTTTTTTTAATAAAAAATCCATCTCATTTCTCCTCCCTCCTCCCTTACTTCTCCAGTTGTGTATCAAAAGGCCTATAGGATTGTTTTACTGAATTCTGTTGTATTTTCTAGTATAGAGTAGTGGTTAGCTCAGAGACTTTGGAGAAAGAGCAACTTTGTTGACAAGCTATCTAACTGTGCTATACTTCAATTTTCCCACCTGTAAAAGTGGGATAGTAACTGTGGATACCTCATAGGATTGTTAAGATTAAATGAAGAAATTAAAGTAAAACAATTTAAATTAATGTCATATAAACCTGGTACATAAGAACCACTCAATAAGTGTCATTATTCTTTCCTTGCAATTTATTATTCTGTTAAATGGTTATAACTATGAATGACCAAATAATATTAATGTCACATTCTCATCCATATTGGTTTAACAGAATAATGCTGGATACGAGTGCTTTAGCCCAAAGTTAGTGCTCATCCAACTGGAAGAGATCTGTATTTGAACTCATTCCAAAGAAAGATGATAAAATGTGGAAATTACTGAACAATATAATTAATATCAAATACTACCTTTTTAAAAAAACACAACAAAATAAGGGTTCAATGAATATCTCTAGTCGAATAAAGAAGACAATAAGAACTCAAACAAAATATACTTTTTATTTATCCTGACTCACTGGGAAACTAGATATTCTATAACTGATGAACAAATAACTTACATGTTGAATGGGCAAAAGTTCAAAACCATTGAAATTATATTTTGATAGCTAAAAATCTGCCTTCTAGGTTTTAAGCATTTAGCATAAAATCCTTAACCTGACTTCACAGAGCCCAAAAAAGGTGTAAACTCTTTTAAACTCATCCCAGATTTCAGTATGCAACCCTTCCACATCCCTCACATGTTTAAGAACCACTGGTGTGGCTAACCATTTACATCTTCCTGGCAAAACGTAGTCACAAGCAATTATCATTCAGAGCCGCAGCACAGTGAGATCTTTAGGAGATAGTGGAGACGCTCTTTTCTAGGTGAAGCAACTGAATTAAGCATTTCCTAAAATACAGAGCCTTACACAGTCCATCTCATTAATCTTCCAACATCACTGATGGGATTATCATGTTCATTACAGAAAGAGCATGCAAGTTGCCCAAGGTCACAAAGCCAATAAGAGTTATGGCCAAGAGTCAAATCTTGGCAGCCAGTTTCCAGACCAGCTGTGCTATTCTTGTGAGAAGTGAGCTTAAATGAAAAGTAAATGGATTCTGAAGGAGAGTTCTTCTAGGAAATATATGCTATTTGAGTTTGTGGGCACTGTGACAACAGTTTTGGTTGCCTGGATATATTTCATTCCTTATTTCTATGCTTCCCATTGTGCTCAGATACTTGAAGCTGCTCAGTAAGTGACTTCTGAATAAACTAGGTGATGTTGCATTTGATTTAATACAACTGATAGTTGCAGTTAGTTCAAAGATCTAAGTGCTTTTAAAATTATTTTGTTAAAGACACAACTTTAAAAACATTTTACACACTATTTATACGAGTCCTTACAGATGTACCTTTTGTAGGGATACCTAAAACCACAGAAAACAGTGGCATCCAGTTGCCTGGGCCCCACCCTTGGAGATTCTAAATTGGTAGGACTGTAATGAGGCAGTGAGAAAACAGAGGGTTACCCTAGGAAGACATAGTGACTTGGTGTTAAGAGACTTCAACACACCAGAGATGTGCCCATTGAGAATAACTTCTACATGAAGCAAATGTGTTGCTCCCCGATGAATATGTAGAGATTTTGGAATAGAAGAGAGGAGATCTCTGTTCTCATGTCTCCTTTAGACCTGTGTATTGACATAACTACCTTCTGAATTCTTACTAGGAACTTGGACAAATGGAATGATATATGACACTTCAAAGGTCAAACATAGTAATTTTGCTTTTCTGAAAATCATTCATTGTAAATTCTTGCCTTTGCATCATGGTTAGCGAGTGAGTTGCCTTGTTAGTTTGATATTGTACAATATGAGGGGTCAAGGTTGGTCCCAGTTTGACATAGGCTCCTCTGTTACTGCCAACTTCATAGTAGTTGGAGGCAGAAAAGATGGTTAGTACCTAAATTGAAATAAAAGAAAGACAGACATTCATCTCCACTGAGGAACTCTTCACACTGCATCTATCTGTTGTTGCTATTGGGTGGCGCTGAATCTATTTTGACTCAAACAACCCTCAGAGGGCAATTGCCCCAAATACTTATCTATGCTTTAATCTTTTCAGCAGCAGCTTGCCAGATCTTTTTCCTGTGGAAATTGAGAATTCACACCACTGATCTTTTTATATACAGACAACCCAACTTCATTGGTGCCTATTATTTCTTGTATTGTTTTGGGGTCACTTTTTTAAAAAGGTGTTTTAACTCTTCCAAAGAGAAGACCAGAAATGAATACTCCCTAATTCATTTCATGAGGTCAACATAACTTTGATGCCAAAACCAGAAAAAGACATCACAAATAAAGAAAGAAAAAGTATAGGCCTATATCTCTTTTAAGATATTTCTTATCTTCTATCTCTTTTGCATTTTATAAATATAGAAGCAACAATGCTCAGCAAAATATAAGTGAACAGAAAGCAAACAGAATAGCCTATTAAAGGAGTCATATACCATGGTCAATTAGGATTTATTCAAGGAATGCAGGTACTATCCAACATTAGAAAATCAATTAGTATACTACATCACATAAATAGAACAAAAGAAAACAATACATGATCATCTATGTAAATGCAGAAAAAAATATTTCATAAAATCTAACACTCTTTCTGGATGGAAATCCTAAAGAAGATTGGAATAGAAGGGAAATTCCTGAGTATGATTCAGGAAATATATCAAAAGCCAAAAGTCAACATTATACTTAATTGAGAGCTTACCCTTTGGAAACAAGATAAAGGTGCCCACTCTCAATATTTCTATTCAGCATTGTGTCAGAAGCCCTAGCCAAAGCAATAAGACAAAAAAAAAAAAAAGAAAAGAAAAGAAATATATCTAGATAGGAAAAGGAGTAAAATTATCTTTATTCATGGATTATATGATAATATGTACAGAAAAATCTTAAAGCCCATAAGAAAACTTCTACAGTTAATAGAGGAATTTAGCAAAGTTGGAATGTACAAGGTAAACAAGCAAAAATTAGTCTCATTTCTAAAAATAAGCAATGGAAACCTGAAATGGAAATAAAAAAATGAATAGCATCTAGAGAATAAAATGCCTAGGAAATAAATACATCTAGGTATGTAAAGAATTCTAAACAAAAATTAAAGACCTGGTGAAAGATAGTAAAGAAAACAAGATGGAAAAAACGTCCATGTTTATGCACTGGGAACTTAATATTGTCAAAGTGTCAATACTATACAAAACAATCTACAGATTCAATGTGTTGCTGTTGTTCTTATGTGCCATCAAGTCGCTTGCGACTCATAGTGACTCTATGTACAACAGCCCTAAACCCTGCTCTATCCTGTGCCAGTCGCACTGCCTCTGACACACCCATCCTGATTACTCTAGTCACTGAATCCATCCACCTCATAAAGGGTCTTCAATGTAATCTCTATTAAATTACAAGAGTCTGCTTTAAAGAAATGACTATACAAAAGCATTCAACTGAGTAGATCATAACACATTATGGGTAACATTGTGAAGAACAAGAATTACAGAACAATTGTGTCCATATGGAGTCTGTACATTGACCAGTAGGCATTCATTCCAACAAAACAATAAGAATATTTCATGGTTTACCATAGTACATTTCAGGGTTATAGGGGTTTTTTTTAATATTTTATTTTATTATATTTTGTGTGTGCACTGTCAAATCGGGTCTGACTGGTACAGGAGGAGATTGCCCCTCCTTCTCCATCAGAGCATCTGGTGGATTTGAACTAAGGGTTATAGTTTTTTAACAAACATATTCTATATGTTGAGAATATAATCTGAGAATCTGGACTGTATGAAGAAAAAAACATGTACGAGGTTTGGAGAAAGACTCATAAACAACCTATAGTATCAAGGTTGACAGTGAACACAAACTTTTTGCTGAAAGTGAAGAGGACTGGAAGTACTACTGATGAAGATCAAATCCTACAGGCTTCAGTGTAGATTGTTGTCAGTGTTGTGTGCCCTCAAGTCTGCATCAGCTCATATTAACACTCAAGTTTTCAGAGGCAGTAAATCACACAAGAGGAGCGGATGAAGGATTAGAACGTTTCACAATTAAAAAAAAATCTCACAACTTAACCAATAAGTGACATCATGATAAATGGTGACAACACTGACTTTATCAAGGACACTGGAACAATTATCCATTGCTGGAATGCAAAATATTACAGATATTGTGGAAAAGAGTATTGAAGTTCTTCCAAAATCTAAAAAACAGGACTGCCATATGACCATTCCTAGGTTTATACCCAAAAGATGAGACAACAGAGACTCAAAAATGTTTACATCAGTGTTCACTGGAGCACAATTCACAATAGTCAAAAGCTTAAAACAACTTAAAGGCTTTAGAGGTGGGAGGGATTTTAGTAATTTTAAGTGGGGTGGGGTTAATTAGAAATTTAGAATGCTATTATGTATTAGATATCTCTGTAGCTGGCCTTGTAGTATCTCTTTGTGCTTCTTTACTCTGTAATTGTTACCCTTAAAGATTTCAAGTAGACGCAGAGGGACCTGAGAGGAGAGCAACCTCGTTAAGATGAATTGGACATGTAAACACTCCCCTGAAAGAAATGTAATGATTGGAAAAAGAAATTAATAAAGGTCTCTTTACCCTGGATATTAAATCCAAGAATCTAGATTGTGAGCAAAAGTTTTAGATAGTCACAGCATAGATTGGTGCCCTTTGAAAAATTGTTTCTAGATTGACAATGATGGATGATGATAATTCGTGGAATTTATTTGAAAAGTTATAAAAAAAAGAAATTCATTAATTAAAAAAAACAACTTAAAGGGACATTAAAGATTAATGGAAAAATAAAATGTGGTAATTGGTGTATGATTGCACAGCCAATATAGTAAATGATGTCAAATAACTTGTACATACATATGTAAGAAGTTGAATTTGCAAAAGTATATCTATAACAATCATACATACACACACAGAGATAATAGCTGTTGAAGCTACATACATACAATCAAACACATCATGGGACTTAGTTCTCGTTTGATTTTGTAGGTTTAGGGTCATGGTTTCTTGGAACATCCCAATTAATTAACCTAATGTTCAGTGCTTCTGTTCTCCTAGTTGAATAGTACCTAGATTCAAACTCAAGACTTGCAAGTGGCAGGCCACAGCACAACAATTGATATCAAGTCATCTGGAGTAAAGGAGGATGAAGAGTCAGGAACAGGAGGAAGCTATGAGATGTGTGGCTAATTGCTACCATGAACAACTGCCTCTTTTGACATGAAAACAGTGGAAATGGATGGTACCTGGGTAGATTACTGAATATTTTCAGCAAAGATTCCAAAGACGAATCATGATCAAAAGAACAGTGCAAAATTTCAAATTCTCACTAACTTCAGACTTTCTGAGTAAACTATGTCTGCCTTGAGCATTGTGAGCCTGTCAGTTTATTGTTGTGGGTTGCTAAAAGCAATGCCATTTGTGTTTCAAATGACACAAGGGTCATCCATGGCGGGCAGATTTCAGCAGAGCTCCCAGATTAAGAGACACTAGGAAGCAGCATTGGCCATCCACTTCTGAAATAATAAGCCTCTGAAAACCTATGAGCAAGAGGCTAATGTGGACAGCTATAGTATTGGAGGTAGAGCTCAGAAAGGAAGTTGCTCCAAATGAGCACATAGTGACTGCAACAAAGGACCCAAGTGTGTCAGAGATGAGGAGCATGGCACAAGGTAGGATTGGGTTCAAATCTATTGTTGATAGCACCATTATGAGTCCAACTCAACTAGACAGCCCCTAACAACTGCATATAGAATAAACTAAGAGAAGCATCTTCTGAAAAAAAAAAACAAAAATGAAGTGAGAGGCATAGCACTCCCTTACCTCAAAACTTACTACACAGCAGTAGCAACCAAAACAGCATGATACTGGTACAATGACAGGCACATAGACCAAGGGAACAGAATGAAGAACCCAAAAATATACCCAGCTATCTATGGTCAACTGATACTTGACAAGGAAATCAAAGCATCAAGGGGGAAATGACAACCTCTTCAACAAATGGTGCTGGCGAAACTGGACTGCTACCTGCAGAAAGCTGAAACAGAATCCACATCTCACACCATACACAAAAATCAACTCAAGGTGAATCAGAGACCTAAGAATAAAGCCCCAAACCATAGAGTTCATAAGTGACAAACTGGGGTCAAGTTTAATGAGCAACTATGGATGAATGGAAATTCAGGTTCTTTATAAACTTTCATTAAAATCTCAATTAAAGCCCATCTATCTATGACAAGGAGATGAAATCAGTTAAGTGGGGAAATGACCTTTTTAACAAATTGTGTTGGCAAAATTGGAAAAGTATCTGCAAAAGATTTAAGCAAGATCCACACCTCACTCTACATACAAAAACCAACTCAAGGTGGATCATGGACCTAGGACTAAAACCAAGGACTATAATCTTCATTAAAGAAAATGCTACAAGTCCTAATCCACAACATAAACAGTATTCCACATATCCTGAAAAACCCACAACCAGGAGAAGATAAAATAGATGAATGGCACCTTTTAAGAATCAAATCCCTATGCACATCCAAAAACTTCTCCAACAGGGTAAAAAGGGAAGCCACAGACTGGGAAAAAGTATTTGATAATGACATAACAAATAAGGGCCTTATATCCAGAATTTATAAAATACTTGAGCACCACAACAAGATAAAGGTAAATATTCCATTGAAAAATGGACAGACACTTCACCAAAGAAGACAATCAGATGCCTAACAAGCACATGAAGAAATGTTCAAAATCCTTAGCTCTAAGAGAGATGCAAATTAAAACAACTATGAGATATCATCTCACCCCAGTAAGACTAGAAAAATTTAACAGAACAGCAAGCAATAAATGCTGGTGAGATTATGGAGAAACTGGAACCCTTATTCA